AAAAAAAAAAAAAAAAGCATCAACTTTGTGTTTATTCACAGACAAGTACAATAGATGGCAGCATATTTAGTATTGATAATATTTTTTTTGTTGTTATTGTTGTTTGAGACAGGGTCTCACTCTGTCACCCAGGCTGGAGTGCAGTAGCATGATCAGGGCTCACTACAGCCTCTGTCCCCTGGGTTCAAGTGGTTCTTGTGCCTCAGCCTCCCAAGTAGCTGGGACTACAGGTGCATACCATCACACCTGGCTAATTTTTGTATTTTTTGGTAGAGACAGGGTTTCACAGTGTTGACCAGGCTGGTCTTGAACTCCTGACCTCAGGCGATCTGTCCTCCTTGGCCTCCCAAAGTGCTGGGGTTATAGGCATGCGCCACTGCGCTTGGCCTTAGTAAGAGTAATCTAAACATCCATTTGCAGAAGAGTGGATAAATTGTGACATATTCCTCAAAGTAATACCATTTCATTGTAGCTGTGAGGATGAAGGAACTGGAGTAGGCTTGTACTAGAGTAAACTTTGCATCATAGCAATTCCCTTCTATAGTCACCATCGCATTATAATGGGGAAACCTGGAACTGTATTTTCCAGTGTCTCATTTCTGTACAGTTTTAAGTTAGTCTTCAGTGAGGGGAATTTGCATGACTTTGTAGTGCAGAAGAGAAGAGACAGTTCTTAATCCACAGTGGCAGATGGATGATGTGAATTTACCAGGCATGCTGAGCAAACTCTTGCAATTCACCTGCTTCAGTGTAGTAGGTGCTTGAGGTTGTTGTTAGTTACCTCCTAGATTCTTAGGTTCACAGAGGCTTCTGAGCAAACTCTTGAGAATTGCATGAAGCAAAATTGTCACTGGCAGCTTTCTTGATCTGGGCTCTCCGATGACTTGCAATGGTGATGGGCACCTCTAATTCTATGTATTCAGTCTTCTTTTGCTTGAAATATATAGAGTACTTTTGTGTTTATAACCAATCCCTGACTGACCCATTGAGTTACATATATCAGCATGAATAAGTTTTAGCAATGTATGGTTGAGTTTAAAAAAGAGAATAAAAAATATGCAAAGTGATATTGCATATGGTTAAGGATACATACACATGTAGTAAAAGTTTGAAAATATGCAAAAAATGGTAAAACCAAATTCAAGGACAGTGGCTACCTCTAGGGGTAGAGAGGAGGAGTGGCACTGTGGACAGTTATATGGGGGATTTAAATTATATGCATATGTCTGTATGCTTTATTTCCTTTAATGACCTGGAAAATATGGAAAATTTGAAAGTTTGGGCACAGCTGGCTGCTGTTTATATTATTCTCTGTATTTGTCTGTCTGTGAGGATGATTACATTAAAAAAGTTTAGTTTTTGAAAATCATGATGTAGACTAATGTGGACAGGTTGAGTTGATGGACTCTAAATTTCTAGTCTGAGATTCTGAAATTGTTTTAAAAAATCAAATTAGGTATGTGAAAGTGATGAACTATGTGAACTCTGTTTTAAAAATTTACGTGTGCATTTGGTACAATCAGAATTTTGCAAACCATAATGGAAGTTATATATATTAATACATGTTTGTGAAAAGTTTAATTTGCATTTGGAAAAATGTTGAAATTTATTTATTATTTTCATCCATGTTGATAGCATGCCACATTTAATCACAGATAAATACATTTAGTTACAAATATAACATCGTTAATGTTAGATAGACTATTTAAATTTCTGTTATTTGGTTTTGAATTATTGTCAAAAAATTGGAAATGTTGCATTTGATTTTTGCTTAAGTTTTCTTTTTCTTTTTTATTTATAAAATTATTTTAGAAAAATCCTGTGGAACAGTTACTTTTTGCTTATAAACTTCTTGACAAAGCAATAGGTGGAATAAATTTGAATTGCATGTTAACCACTTTGCCAAATGGATCATCAGTAATTGACCACTGCTATGCCAAGGTAAGAATGGAAAAGTCTTACATTAGATGTAAGTTTTACTTAACTGGGAAGAGGACTGGCCTTGAAAGTAAGTAGGTAAGTAAAGCATGACTTGTGGTGACTTACCTCATATTTCCCTGTTCCAGTGAGGAATCTTTGAATTTGTTAATGAAGAAGACACTGATGAATTCTAAGGGCATATTTATTAATGTTTAAGCTAACTGCAAGGGGCTGAGAAGTGAGCAGAATGTGATGGTTACAAATAAGATGATGATAAATTGAGTGATAATAGTATACAGCTATTTTTTTGTGTTTTGAACACACACAGCTATTTTGTGTGTTTTAACTGTATTTCTTTCTATTTCAACTCTGTTGGACCAAAGCATACCCACCATATAGATGGAGATACTTACAAACCACTTGCCTCAAATAGTTTCATGATGGATTTGCATCTTGAACTAATTCAAGCTCAGCATCGAATAGCTGTTGTGCTTCTGGACAAATTGCAAGGTAGTAGTCATCAAAGCAAGTAACTGTTCTGAATCAATATTAAGCCCAACTCCAGTACAGATTCAATTTAATTTGAAAACTGTGTTCTTGTTGACTGAAGTTTTCAGATAAATTTCATTATTTTTCTGAATTCCCTAATTAACATAATAAAAACATAATTAAACCTTTCAGTATTGCTTTAGACTTTGCATATTAAATCAGTTAGTAAACTTCTTAAAAAATTTAATCAATTATGTTTGTTTGAGTTATAGTAAATTATTTTTGTTAATATAACCAAGCAAACATTTATTGAGTACCTACTAAAATCAAGGCATTGTATTTGGTTAGGCACAAATTAGAAAGGCTCTACTTTTGAGCTTCTAGATAAGTAAACCAATATATCAGGTGAGGTTGACACATTTTGTAATGGGGGTGGGCTCAGAATATTATGGGCACAAAGAAATATCTATATCAAATAAGAAAGTCAGGAATGAGTTCCTGGAAGGTGCGTGTAAAACATTTAAATCATATTATATATAGAGCTAAATAGAGTTATTCAGATGCTAGTTAATTTCACAGTGAGCAATGTGACACACACTGCTGATTAGTGCAGGAAGATGAAAAAAAATACTTACAGTGAGAATTCTAGCCAATGAAAGAAGATAAGAAAAATAATTTAAAGATAAAAGGATTGAAAAAGAAGAAGAAAAACCTGTTACTTCTAGATTATTTGACTGCCCACTTTGAAAATGCAAGAGTCTATCAGTATATACAAAAATAATATGTAATACATAATATGTAACTCCTGACCTCAAGTGATCTGCCTCAGCTTTGAAAAGTTCTGGGATTATAGGCATGAGACACTGTGCCTGACCACAAGTTTTTTTTTGATGTCTCCACTTCCAATTCTAAAGGGTTTCTTCTCATCTTCTCCATTTTTGTATTTTCCTTCTCTCATATTGAGCATTCTGGTTCCTAACAACATCAATGTAATTACTCATTTGTTTTATCCTGGCAAATAAACAAAGTACTTTCAAAATTATTTAACCAATACCACTATTAACAAACCTACTGAGTAAATTAAAGATTTCTTTGCAGTTCATTTTGTCTTTAGAAAATATCATACGTCAGAGAACTGTGTCCAAATTTACTTGGATTAATTCTATTTTTAATTTTTTTTTTTCAATTTGATACATACTTGTGACCACTTTTTTGTATCTGCATTTTGCTTTTTTTTTTTTTTTTTTTTTTTTTTTTCTCACTCTGTCACCCAGGCTGGAGTGCAGTGATGTGATCTCGGCTCACTGTAACCTCTGTCTCCCATGTTCAAGTGATTCTCCTGCTTCAGCCTCTCAAGTAGCTGGTACTACAGGCCTGTGTCACCACACCTGGCTAATTTTTGTATTTATTTTTAGTAGGGATCGGGTTTTGCCATGTTGGCCAGGGTGGCCTCGAACTCCTGACCTCAAATGATCAGCCCGCCTTGGCCTCCCAAAGTGCTGGGATTATAGGTGTGAGCCACTGTACCAGGCTTGCATTCTGTTTATATAAAATTTCCTTTTTTCTCCATCCTTTTATTTTTTTACAGTTGTCATCTTTTTACATTTTATTTTAAACATTTACATAGTTTCAAAAACTACTTCTCATATGACCTGCTGGGTGTGGAAGGAAGCAAATCATAATTAAAATATCTTTGTGTCATCCTGTATAAATTGAAAATTTGATAAAGTTTTTCTAATACATAAATGAGTTACTTAGAATAATCACCTTGAACATTTTTGGGGCTGAAAAGATTTGTCTAAGAAATGTATTTCAAAATGTAAATAGAATTTTTGTGTCAGGTTTTAAGAAACTAACCCATGATTCTCATATAGTAACTGTATTATTTCCTTTAGTGGAGGATTAGAGTTTTTTTTTTTTTTTTTTTTTTTTTTTTCTTTTTTTTTTTAACCAAATAGCTTGTTCTGTAATTGTCATTCATAAATCTTTGAAGACCAAATGAGTTTTGATCACAGACCACTTAAAGATATTGATGCAAGACTTGAGTCCAAATGTAATGGAATTAGTTATTATTTCCTTGCGATATCTCTGGGTTTCCTCAATTTTTTTCTCGGCTTTATTGAAATGCCATCCTAGCACAGCTGATCACTTTGTTCCCCTACCTTGTGTTTCTTTAGCATGCTGTTGTCAGACTAAAGTTCCCTACATTAGCATTCTTATTTAATAATGGCTGCCTGTTGATGACCATGACATAACTATGATGCATCTGTATCTGGCGTTCAGAATTATTTTGCAGTCTCATTCTTCTTATCTCCAATGATTATAATCAGGAAAGCTTAACTAGCATTTATAATATCCTTGGTACCGAGAGAATGATGCACTATTTTCTGCTCTGCATTGTTATCTCCATGCAGATGTTTCCTTACCCTTTGCCATTGCAGAGGCCTTCTATCCTTTAATGGTGTCTGTTAACATCTTTTCATGAAGCCATTACCATCCCATAGTGGCTCATGTGCATTAGCACAAATAATTAAAACTCAGTAAAAGGAATTTATTGTAAGGTTACTGTAGGTACCCTCGCATACCACCAAGGACAGATATATTACCAGGTCTCCTAAGGACCAGACCTGATAATCAAGAATCAGTACTGCAGTTTCCATCTCCCTGGGCTAGTATAGCTGTATCCTTTTTCCCCGTCATCCATGTTCCTGTCTTTACTGAACCACCATGATGGTCAGTCCCAATTGTATACCAGTATCAACAACGGGTAAGTTTATGTTTTAGTTAAAAATCTTGAGAGAGCCTCTGATTTCATCAGCCACAGCTGGAGGAGAGTAGACGTCTTCATGTGGTATCCAGAGCTCTTGAAGGGGCTTTGGACGACACAGTTTTTCTAGAAGGGACATTGAGTACAGAGTTTTGACAGCATATTGTTATTGGTATCAAGACTTGCCATCTGTAGTTTGTGAAAAGGTAAAGTCAACAGAAGTAGGTTGGATTCTATCAACCTTTAGGGTGATTTTATTTGAGTTAGAAAATTAAATATTTTTATAATTTGGAATTTCTTATGTCCTGAGGTATACTGTGGCAAATAAAAGAGGATTTGATAAAACTGCATTATAGATTTATATGAATTTTGATCTATTAATGAAAAAAGATGACGTGATAGAGGAAGCAATAGCTTTACAAATAGTCACTCCTTAGTGTTTAAAAAATATTTCCTGTCTTGGATACATCCTTGTTATGACAGTCTTTTTCTTCTTCAGTTTTGCAGACTCCAACTGTTAGCAAAGATATTTCTACCAAGGGTCCAGAAAAGTTAAAACAATCTAGAAGCACTGATTGTTTTACAGGTAATTAAAATTGGGATAACTGGTATTTCCAAAAAATTTGAAAGATAGTTTTTAATCTCACCTTTTTGGTAAAATGTTTGTTTGCCTTTGTAGAATTAAATATAATGAATAAAATAAAGAAGAATACATTATCCAAAGCAATTTACTTAATGCAGAAAGCTCTTTTAATATTCGAGAAAGATGCAACCTCTACATCTTCATGGGAATTTTTGACGGTAATAGTATTTTATTTTTTCTTTTAATCGTGACATAAAATTACTGTTAAAATGAATGATTTCCTTTATTAAAAATAATGTGTGGCCCTTAACAATTATGAACTTTCAGATTCACTGTATATAATTCATCCTGACCAGGATAACTAATCTGTACCTCCAGTTCTGAATTCTGAAATGAGAGATTTCCTTTTTATCAGAGCTTCATGCAATCTACATGAGAAGCCAAATAAAATCAGAAGGACCCAAAATGAGGGAAATTATAGAATTGGGGTGACACTTTACCAGCCTAGTGTATTCTTTACAATAGAATTAAAATTCTTAAAGTCCATTGGCTGAGGTACCTTCTTTCTTAGATAGATACTGCTAATTTATGGACCAATCCCCTTGTTGATATTTTTAATTAGGTCTCATTCTGGCCTGGAAATTCTTCTCCTTTCCTGCTAATTCATTATATGTTGATTTTATTTGTTTGTCATTTGAGACAGGGTCTCACTCTGTCAACCAGGCTGGAATGCAGTGGCACAGTCCTAGATCACTGCAGCTTTGAACACCCGGATTCAAATGGTCCTCCCACCTCAGCCTTCCAGTGGTGGGACTACAGGCATGCCACCATGCCAGAATGTTTAAAAAAATTTTTTTTGTAGAGTCAGAATCTTGCTATGGTTGCACTGGCTGAGTGAATGATATGTGAAGATGTGGAGAATAATGCTATGTCTTGGCTGTTAAGAGAAGGAAAACAGTAGGTCAAAGCTAGGAGGAAGATATGGAGCTAAAGGAGTTTAATAGAGAAAATTTAGCATAATAGTGTGCTAAAAATGAAGAGCCAGAACAAAGAGAAATTGAAGATAATAAGAGGGAGAGGTTAATACACAGAGCCAAGGCCTATAGAGGATGCTTTCGAAAGCACAGATAAAGGGATTCATCTTCAATGATGGTTGAGCTGCAGGGCAGACACCTCATCTTTTGATACAGAAGGGAAGGAGGAACAGACAGATGTAGATAACACAATTTTTAGACATCTTGATGTGCACAGTGGTATGACATTATCCTGAGGTGGTGTTCTTAATGACAGCAGAATATTTGTGACAGCAGACGTTTTTGGAGGGTTAGATTTTTTGAATAAAATGAAGGTATGAATGAAAAGTTCATGGCTTTAAAAACGTGCATACAGATTGAGTAGGGAGGGAAGGCATGAAGGCATTTGAAGACTTGGTGTCTATGGAAATATGAAGAGACTGGACATCTTTATGACGTCAAGTCAAGGACCAGAAAACGAGGGTCTGAGAGAGCTAGAAGGATAGATGTTTGAGGTTAGAAAATAGAATACGGAAATTTAGTATTTCTGGTATGATTTGCCTTCTTTTTGTGGTTCTGCCTTTGTGGTCCCTGGATTTATTTATATACAAATCCAGTCTATGGAAACATAGATAAGTAAATATGTGCTTTAATTGCAAGAGGGCTAGGGAAAATTAACAGGGGAGTACCTAACTCAACAGTGGGGAATGTTTAAGGAAACCAGGAGAGATCATGTGAAGTTGAATGCTGAAAAACAGAATGCTTGAATTTGAATACGGAAACAATACTGAGAGCCACAAGAAAAATGAGAGCAAAGAGTAGAAAGGACATTCCAGGCAGAGAGAACAAATCTGCCAAGGTCCCAGGGCTAGAAATGTCATAGAATGCTTGTAGTCCTATAGGTCATTGTGTGAGACAGAAGCTTGGGTGCAATAAGGGTAGGAGTGGGGTTGGGGAGAGGATAGTAGCAAGGGAGACTAGAGAGGAAGTAAAGATGTTCATAAGAAGGCTTTTTCACCAGGCTAAGAATTTTGGGTAGACAGATACTATCAATATTCAAGGTGAGGAAGTCTATCTTGCCAGTATTAGGGAAGAGCCTGGTTAAATTTGAATTTCGAATGAGGAAGTTGGATGATGGTGTTGGGTGGTCTGAGATCACAAGGCCAAGTGGTGTCTGGTCTTTGTTGGAAGACTTCAGGGGTGTGTTCAGATCCATTTTTTCAGCAGATACTTCCAAGGCTGTTTGCTATTGTCTAGTGCTGAGAGGACATTGGTACATCAGTCCTATTTTTATGGCAAATAAACCTTATCTTTCTTTTACAAATATTGCTCTCAGGACTAATCTTGGGGCTTCTTAGAGCCTGAAGAGAGGTTTCTCCTTGTTTTATGTTGACTGAATCTTGTCTTTGTATGGCCATAGTGTGCCTGTTCCCCTGTGTGTGTCTGACTCCCACCACTGAGACCAGGGAACAGACTGGAGATTCTGGGGCATCTCAAGTTTCCAGTGTGGGCAGGAACATCTTCTGTGACCACCTCTGCTCCCCAGTGGTAGTTTTTATCCAAGTGTTAAGGCTTAATGATCAGTCCCCAGCGTACTCTCCTAAACAATGATGTTATGGCTCAAACATTTGGACCAGAACAAATGAAGAAGCCCAAGCATAATGGAAGTTATAATAAATCCTGGCTTTAATATTTCCTGAATTTATGTCTTGATGTCTCCCAAATACCAGTCTATTAACTATATTAGCAGTAATTAGATTTAATTATTTTTTATTTTGTAGCATTTCAAGTCAAATCAGCTCTATTTGCCTTTTTTTTTTTTTTTCCTTTTAAAATTTTCATGTCAG